GTTTTGAGTTGCTTTGTTTGTTTCCGTTGTTCATTTTCACACGAATCATTCGTGTAATAAATCAAATCAAATCAAATCATATCACCCGGTGACTGGGTGGAGCTATACCACTATCGCATTGGTAGCTAAATTTGCCCACTCATAGCGTAATTGCTGCGCACAAAACGGCAAATACTAGTAAAAGCTTCAAGAATGGAGAATTTTTGACAAAGCAAACGATTTTCTCACAATGTTGGATGGAGATTTGACCAAATATAGAAGGTGAAAGAAGGGTCGTCAGTAATGGCGTAGGATGAAACGGAATTTAACTTGTGGTTTGAATTTATATCGTTTGGAACTATGGGCTTTTGATGGAGTGGAAGTGGTAATGAAGGCCCGAATAACGTAAAATCTCTTATTGTGGAAACCACCATTTGGTCGCTCCTGCTTTAGGGTGATTGCATCGGTTAGTGCTGCCCTGCCGCAGCTTTGTTTGGAATTGAAAATTTATTTTCATCTGTTTCAAATTCTGATTCTATTCGAGTCTATTCTTATTTCTCCTCGTTATTCGATACCAGCTTATAATACAGTGTTCACGCAGTGCATACATATATCTTCTAGATAAACCGCTCACCTGCCAGTTTTATGATAACGTTCAGCTTTCAACAGCATCATTTCTCGTACTTCCTCAGTGATATCCAATTTTTGCTTCATTGCCCACTTCTTCTGAACAGATTTCTTCTGAACTTCTTGCTTTACGTCTATTACAGTCACTTGTTAATTATGTGAGAAGTCAGCTGCAAAATATTGTCGTTACTCGAGCTTCATTCTTTTCCCAGAACAGTAGCACACTGTAGGTGGAATGTTCTTATGTGTGGTCTACCACTATGACATATTCATTCAGCGCTCTTTCAAGTGCCAATTTTCAAGTTTCTACATGGTACCTTTCTGTTCGACCAGAGAAGAGCTCATCCGCAGTCAAAAAGTTACAACAGCCGGTGATCAGCTAATTTCACCCGGACCGGTCGAAACCAGTCAAGGAAGAAGTCACTTCACAAGACCACCGCTATGTTACATTGCATTCATTCCTGCTCTATAAGTTGATAAATCTATACCTCTCCTAAAGCATTACAGCTGCTACTACAAAAGCTACAGTGTGGAATGAACTTTTCAGAACAATAAAGAATTTATATGGGGGAGCTTGGAGATCTTTGGAGCTGCAAGATAACTTTACTAGAAACTTACTCCACTGTGATATCTTAAGCAATGAATGAAATCACTCCGTAAAAGAGCGAGGCTCTTGTTACTACCACTACCTTTCGGAATGTCACAGTTGCATCATGAAGGAGGACAGAAAAAAGGAGTCCGACCAGTGTTTGCAAAGAAAACACTAGGCTGTAAGAAGTAGGATGTTATTGTAAGTAAAAGTGAGCATCACTGTCAAAGGGCTAATTCGAGTTTGGAGCAACGCCACCATGCGCAGGTGAAATAAATGGGACCGATGGATAGGCCGACTATACGGAGATTCAGTTAAATGAATGCATCGGTTTGAGCTGATGACCATTTTGAGGGAAGAAAAATTGTACACTACCAATCATATATTGAAATGCCCTATCCCCACCCCTTCCCCCTCTCATTCGATTTTGATTCGATTAGAATCGTAGCGACGCTCGTTTGTGGTCTATATAGTGACTAGACCAGCCGATGTATAACCAATTTTTCATTCTTTTATTAGACGTAGAACTGTGGGGTTACGAGTACTTTTACCACACCTCACGGCTGAAATTAGCTTTAGCCTGGAAAAAATTAACCCGCCACATTTTCCAACTCAGGCCAACATAAAAGAATCGCTAAACTTTATTTTTTATGTGCTGCTTCGAAAAAAGGTAAAGTGTCAAGTGTTTCGACCTTAACCAATACCTTTTTCGGATAAGCTCCTGCGTTTAACTTCTTACAAGACTTGACAGAACTGGGAGGATGTTAGTTTGGAGATCGATTCCCACGTCATGCATTTAATAGATCGCCACTCGACACGATGACATCTCAATTTTTCCTATCAAGCTATAGAGGATCTGCAATCTCTTTATTTTTTGTCCTCTATATTTTTGTTGTTTTATGTTCATCTTATTTGCTCATCCTATATGTATGACTCATTTGTAACTGTTCTTAACGTTATCATCTGGCTGATCTGTAGTTCGAAAGGGCAAAATGTTTTCTGTCCGGAGCACTGCACGCTTTATCTGTGAGCTTCATCTCAACTCCGCCCGTGTACCGTATAAATAGCGACTAGCAGCTCTCAAGGGCTAGTTAGCCTCCTTTTCCTGCCTCCACATCACTACTCTTATCTCCATCTCTTCAAGTTTGCTTGTGGATCGAACGTGCAATAAAGAGACAGTGTGTATCGACAAAAGGCTCCGCGTGGCACGACAGACGAGCAGGCACTCCAGCAAATCCCGTTTACAAGCATCAAACGCACTAGATCAAACGAGGAGAGGTGCAGCACATTATTCTGGTGAATCGGCTCGTACGAATCATACTGGAAGACTGTTAGCTATATTCTGCTTTACAGCCAAAATAGCAAACCAGACGAGTGGTCAGGTACAATCCGCCACATTACCGATAGTCTAATAAGGACGCACCTTCTCGCGAAAACTGAAGCGAAAGCAAGGTTTAGAAATGCTACTGTATTTTCATAAGTCGAGTCTCAAGCGCGTGGCTGTGAGCGTGAAGGCTCAGTTGGATACATTCTTTTGCAAATGCCCGCAGTATTTCCAAAATGCGGAAGAATATGCGACCTCTTGTTCAAGAACAATAGTTGCGATCGAAAACTCGATTAACTTGATCAATACTTCGCGAAGTGAACTCCAAGCGATACTTGACCAAATACAAAGGGAGTACGCTAACACAAAGAAAACCAAAAAAAGAATTTTTCGAGGAATTCCAGGCTATTGAAGCCGAAATTCAGCATGACGCCGTTTTGTTAGAATCAGCAGATTTGTCACCAAAGTTGAACACTCGACTTCATTAAATACAGCGCGAATTGCTCCAGATAAAAAATGATGGAAAGACAGCACAAAAATCGGTAAGAATGGAAGAGAGGCTTACGGGTGTCAGCAAAACTATCAGTCTCAGCATTTATGCCTGACGCTGAAAACAACACTGAGCAAAATCTAGAGGAAAGCTCGCACCAATCGCAGCAAAAACATAACACGCCACCTGTACAAAGCGCACAGACCACAGTAACTGATAGCGGGAATTTGAATGCAAAGAATGCTAACATGACGTGCGACTCAATTCTGCGTGACAAGACGTGTTTTCAATGGAAACATTCAATGCAAAAAAAATTTTGCATACACCGCACGTATGTCGGGCCTTTTTGATTTTTTTTGACGCCATAGCAGATCCTTGTTCTTTGGACATGGCTGCGTAACACTCCACACAGCTTTTCCTGCTATCTGTTTTAAGACCTTCAGGTACCTCCTCCAACACACGTCGCAGGGAATGACAATGATGACTCGAAGTGTGGCCATAATCAACATTCAGCAGAGATCCGACCACTTCTAGTTTGAAGTCGTCTAGCCTGATATTCTTCACCGTAACTTTGTTCAGCTTGCAAGCGTTTACAATAGCTGTTTACGAAATCAGATGGAAAAACTCCTCTGTACCACATCATGGTTCTGCTCACAAATGGTGTGTATGATGAGATCTGATCAGAAAGGTTAACAGAACCCTTCATTTCGGTGTATTTATCCACGACTTCCGGTTTCTCAGACGATCCCACCGCTGCGTCATGTTTTGTAGAAATCATGTACAGGTCCCCTTTTTTTATACATTTGAGCACAAAAATTCTATTCCGCTTCAGCTTGCAACAAAGTTGGGCTCTCTTCAAGTTCATTTCCTTGACTTAATTAGGAATAACATTTCTGTTCCTCCTAATAGATCCAAGGGACTCCTCCTTGATATCAATCTCTTGGCTACGCTAGACTAGAAACTGTCGTGCAGACGATGCGGCCTTCACCGAGGTACCCTTCCATTAGTTCTAGCACAACTTTTTCAGCGAGTGGTTCGCGTCTTTATGGATCTTTGAATGCATAGATTTTTAACCTAACTGTATGCCACCTTTAGCATGACTTGAACAATCGATTCCATATCTGTGCCGTTTAGCAGGCATGTACTGCCTAAAAATGATTCTCTTCGGAACGGAACAAGGGGTTTATCAATACACACTTCTTTCCATTGAGTAAAGTGTGGCCGCTCTTTCCTTGACCAGTTGCACGAATGCCTTGATTTTGTGTAACTGGTCGCCGTCAAAATTTTTGTAGTCTTCCAAATGGAGGTAATTCAACAGCACAGCTCTTAGAATCTGTTTCTAGCCATAATTTTGGAAGCAACGGCGACCACCTAAGCCTGGTCGTGAACTCCAATAATCTCGTAAACGCGGCAACATGACCAATCCCATTCGCAGACATAATCCAACAAATCGTCTCATTCCTTCAGAGTCGTTTTCTTGAGAATCTTCACTGCAGTGAGTTCCATAACTGTCGGTCTTCTTGACGATCAGACCCAAAATCTCGCCGTTCAAAAGCAGCTCGAAAAAATCTACCGAATCTTGGGCAACTGTAAACTCCATCATTTGGCTCGCAGCGGCCGCTAAAAATCTCAGGATCATGAGGTGAGACATCACTGCACTACGACGAATTACTTTCATTATCAGAGCCCCCTCCTGATTCATCCGACTCGGTTTTTGCAGTACTTCATGCACTTCTTCTTCAATTGTTCCTTGTTCTTCCTCATCGGATGCGATCAATAGCGCTTCAAAACCCAATGTGTCTCCAGCATCGTACTGGACTCCAACCATTTTGTAGATGCGGTTTTAGAGAAGTTCCTTGTCAATGGCGTTATAAGAATTTGAAATTGGCCAGGTGACTATGTGGCGCACGGCTTGTCTGCACTCTCTTAGCGAGGAAGTGTAAATTCACATACTCCAGCTTTCACTAATAACAATCAGTTTGTATTATCTCCCCCAACTCTCCCTTTCTGCAGCCCTCCAGTCCTCTAGGTAGCAATTTACCACCTTTGCTTTACAAGTGCATCAATGCTCTTTCTACCTCGCTAAGAGGGAGCAGACAAGCAGAACACCTCCCTGTCGGTTCCCCTTTTCATTCACCGATATAATACACTTTTGATGTTGCCTCCCATGTTCGGCTTCTGTTAAATGCTTATCGTGGGACAGCGTGACGCGCATGCGTGTCAAGATGGCCGTGCCCGCCAAAATGCTCATGTCCAAGGCGGCCGAAAAATCGCAAACGCGCGCTATCGTCAATGGGTTAAATACTGCAACTCTTTTCCCGTGAATTCTTTTTAAGCAGAAGCGAGCAATCGTGACAATGAACCAGGATTTGTTCGCTCTATGCGAAATTCTAGCATCAGCTCACGGACGCACGCCTTGACTTTTCAAACACTCTGCAGCCATGCTATCTAATCTTACGACATTGACGCTGATTTTAGAGAATGTCATCGGCAATATCTATAGCATAAATGTGTTCTCTAAAATTATAGCACAATTTTAGCATGAGCGGTATTCTTCCGGAAACTTATTAGATGACGTGTCCGTGTGACCATGTGTCATATTTACCAGACTTTCTATATTTATGGGTGTGAAGCCTTTTTTTGTGTTCGCTGAACTCACGATTGCTTTCTTGGAAAGATCAAGATATATGAAATTAAGGAATGGTTACCAATTGGTTGGCTCGTTTATCAAAGCCGATCACAAACAGAGTTTGCAGCAACGTAAAAAACACAAAGCCGGTGATGAAACCAAACCAAAGATCAATGGCCTGAAAAGGTTATTCAGATAAAATAATCAGCAATGAATCTAATTACAATACCTTGAGGTAAGAAACACTTGGTAGGTGCTCTCGCGCACCAGCAGACTCTGTAGAAAGTGTGAGTAGCACTGTAATAGCGACACCAATTCGGCCTTCCATGAACTCTTCCGGCAACCAAACGCCAACCTTAACTTGTTCGATACATTTATATGAATTGTTCGCTTTTTTTGATGACTTTTCGAAAACATCAACCATGGCTGAGATCGAGCCCACTTTTACTGACTTTCATTCTACCACACCGACAGCCATCTTAGCCAGAGCTTATGTCGATTGCACAGGCCGAGCTCATCTTCGGATCACTAGCTCACCTAGGAGGAAAAAACCAAAGGTGTTACAACAAAATGAGATCATTCGCCTCTTTGGCGGTGCATTAACTTTCCCTCGATACTATCGAGTTCCTTAGGGCTGCCATATATACAAAAAAGTTGTTAGGTAATTTGAGTGAATCGCCTAAAGGCATTCAGGTTTTCTTTACTTGATCTCTCCACAGCTACGAGCGAGTGGTGTCGGCTTGTACCCATCATATAGGCAGGCATTGAGGAGTTTAACGTGCTTGTTATCATTATCGGAACTTATACGAAGTCACACACTGAGATTCCCCAATACGGACAAATCGCCAAGTGGAGTTCATCGAAAAAGGATGTGATGTTAATGAGCACACAGATTTTCAAAGATCCTGCCGAATGGATTTACCCAAGAGAACATCAAAGCCAGTGAAGTGGGAATGTATGTTTGAGCGATATGAAATCCGACGTCCCTCTTAAGGCGAAACACAGCACGAAGGCACGAGAATGCACCTGAAAAAGGAAACGTGTACTCATGAGGATGTCGCGCTTCTCTTCAGAAATTATTATATGTATGTTTCACAGTTTTGTGGACTCACTCCTGCAAAATGCAACAATACAAGGTTGATCCGATATTTTAGGAGCGATGGACTTAAAAAAGAGAAAAATTACGTTTCAATGTGACTAACGCCGGTTTTTTTAGTAGATAATTCCTATAAAAATTGAAGATTCCAGGTCAAGCCATCCGTCATTTGAAGGACTATGAAAATTTCGGCGGCAACCGGTTAAACAAAATCAAGGGATTCGTGCAACTGGTCAAGGAAACAGCGGCCAACTTTCTACGCTACTCAACGTTTTGCATTTTAGTTCTCACGATCAGCCAAGCTCTTTGACAATTATCTAAACGTCGTGTGCGTGTTTTTCTGATGTTTGCCTCCCGAAGGGTACAAGATAACCGGATCAAATACTCAGATAAATTAAGATTGATCAATGAATAAATAAATAAACAAAAACTTAAGAGTACCTAAGGTCGGAAAAACTCCTCAAGCCCTGCCTATTCAAACTCCAACCTTTGTATGAAGAAAAATCGGCCACATATGAGCCCGACATTTTTATGATTATAACATCGCCAAATTAATTTTGAAGTGATGCGGCAGTTCCCCTTGTAGTCATCTTATCGAATAGTCCTTTATTCAGGCTGATACCGAACGAACTGATCAGCAAATAGATTGCTCACAAAATGTAAAAAAGTTTGTGAACCATGCATGAAGCAAATCCGAGAACCCAGAAATGAAGAAGAGAGCCATTATGAAAATTCTGTTACGACCGAAAACTAATGTAAGACCTGACGAAGCGACCCTGCTGATAAAGCTATTGGCAGAACCGTGAGAAAGATAGCAACAATTTCAATGAGATCTTGGCTTGGTTGATTCTTTTCTGTTGTACAGAAACCAAAATAAGGGAGTTCGAGTAATTGGGAGATACAGGGTGGGCCAAAATTATAATTACAGCGCGCGCTGACGCTCATAACGAATTTTTTCTGAAGTCATAGCAATTCGTTCGCTTTCTTCTATTTCACAAGGTAGATTACATTATTACCTTCCTGATGATACTAAACTTTTTGTAGATTTTGAAAATAGTGTAAGCGTAATTACCTCGTGAATAAGTCGTCACTTTGCATTCAAAAGCACTTTTGGCACGGTGCATCTACAGACGACTCAGCGTAACGAGGCAGGGGGTACATTCGATTATAAGACGCTTTCGAGAGTTAGGAACAATTGCAGATAGGAGTGGTAATCCTAAGAGGCCTGCGTATATATTTAGTGGGAGTTTTAATGAAGCAGGGCGAAGGTCTGCGTAGCAGCGAAGTTCATTCTGAGCCTAAAATGACTAAATGAATGAATATCTCATGAAGTTTCCTGCGCGAAATCGTTAAGCATCATCTGCACTACAAGGCCTTTACACGATCAGAAAGTGATTTCTCCAGTGAGCAGACTAAAAAGAAGAGAAATGTTGGCTCCCAAAGCTGCCCCGCCGCATGCAAAAAATTGTCTTACGGAATTCCTGTTCACCGGCAGAAAGATATCCGCAGTTAAAAAGGTGCTCGATAAATAGAGCGATAAGATTTATATGAAGCTTAAAGAAATGAAAGTGATACAGCGCCTGGCTCACTAACTTTCTGTGATGGCCTGTGCTAGCATCACCGCCGAGGCAAAGACACCGATTATTCTTGTAAATTATGGAGTGAAAGTTGGTTTGGAGGCCTGTTTGATCTCTTGGTGCGCAATAGAACACTTTGGTGATTCGAACCAGTCATATTGTCAAGATGAAGCTCCTGACCGCAGAACAGAAATTGCCCAGAAATTTCGTAAAGGCGGTTTCTTGACCTCATAAGCTTCGATCAGTGACCACTCTGGAGCCCTGACCTAAATCCCATGAATGTCTCAATGTGGTCAGCTTCTGAGATGAAAGCATCCTTTAGCTCGAACAAGAGAAGAAATAGTCTCGAAAATGCTTGGCAAAAAGCCGTGACCAACTCGATGACCCTAGCTGCGTGCCACCGTCAATGCCGTCCATCGTCGTCTCTGGGGTTGGATGAAAGCAGAAAGCAACAGATCCCAGTCTCAATGTACTATCTTGATAAAGGATTAGTGTTGACACTTTTATGAAACTGGTTTGCTTTAAGCTTACTATTCGTTTTCGGGGATGTGATGTCTGTGTAATCACAATTCTGTCCCACCCTGTACATTGTACACGATTCGCGCGCAGCAGCTCTTCTTGTGTAGGGTTCTGAGCTACGCGGATATAAAGGTATGTTCCAGAGGCAAAATGAGGGGATACCAACGGCATACGAAATCTTAAAAAAAGGTAGTGTATTTCCATGTAACCTACCGGACTTCCTTGTTTTCTTGCAAACTGTTGGTTCATATCGATCAATATAGAGTTCCGGTAATTTTACGTCTGGATTCTTATCGATAGCGTCAATACGGTGAGTGAACCATTCGAACCGGACTGTTTCCACCGGATAAGCAACTGAAATGAATTATGGGTTGGATTTAACCAGAATATTAGTGCATATATGACTGCGAAATTTGCGCTACTATGTGCTAGTATGAGATAAACTTGGATAACTTATGAGAAATATATGGGACATGAGCTGATACCATTTCTAGTTTCTCTCTAGAAATACATTTCCTAGAAAAATTGGACTGTTTGGACCTACAGGACTTGATGAGCAGATCGCAGGTTTGCTTGTCGTGTGGGTACTTGCACAAGATGAGATTGCACGACGGTTTGATCTTCACCCTACAAATGAAGTTAAGTAAAGATATCCATTAACCACCAATGAACTGAACAGCTCTGAAGAGTTGCCTGTATGTAGAAAGGGCGGGCTAACGGTGGAAAATGTAATGAAAACTTTGGGGGGAGGGGGAGGAGGGGGGGGGGGGGGGGGGGGGGNGGGGGTGGTGGATGTGGGATAGGGCAGAAGAGCACCGTTCTTTCTTTCACAGCAATGAGCGCTTGAGCGCAAAGCCGACCTTACTTGTGACGGTACGTACTAGGGGTGATTCTTGGTCAAAAAAATATGATTTAAACCTGAGTCTTAGGAGGTGAGGAACTGAAACGGGCGAGATGATTAACTCGTGCACAAAGCAGGGATGGGGAAAGAAGTGAACATTCAGTTGACTCACATACCCTTGTGCTCCTTCCTTCCTGAGGCTTAGTTGAGAAAAACTATATTTCTCGGATCGGAAACGTTCCCAAGCACCATTATTGGCGCGCGAAATCGGCTAACCCTCCTGATCCCGTTTCCCCAACTACATGTTCACCGAGCTAGCCATTTCACTGATATATCGACTGTCTGGTGGAATCGATATGATATGTACAACATAAATTTCCTTCTACAGGTAAACAAAGGGTTCAAGAACGCATGGACAAGAGGATCTGGGACGAACGCTCAAAGACCATACTAACTGCTTACTACAGTAGAAGAAACATAGTAATTCCGCTCATATCATTCAGTTGCAGGTAAACACGCTGCGCGACAACTGTTACAAATACTAGTCGCAAATTTCGCATTTTTTGTAACCTGGGTAATTGCCATATCATAATTATTTATTGCTTCTGTCTCGAATAGGATTTTGACTATCGTCTTCACAGTTGAGCAGGTGGATTTGACGGGAGTGACTCGTTGGGACTCCTACTTACAATGACTTAGATGTTTGTTAGTCGGCTGCAACTAGCCAGAATTTGGTCTCGGCTGAGTGTGATAGGTCACACTCCCAAAAGTTTTGGAACGCTTTCGGGTCTTTTTAGCGACGAACCGGTCGAAACGTCGGACAAATAAATTTTCCATAAGTGGTAAAAGTATACGGCACAAAAGTAGTGAATGTTTACTGTTTCACAAAACTTCTTCCTTAAAGGTTACAAGTGACGCTTGTTCAAGCCTTTTTCAGTCTAATCTCATAGTCATTCTTGAATGTTTATCATGCCAACTGAAGAAAAAACATCAAACCAGTAACCGTGTTTCGTAGAGCACCAGTCCATCAGGAAATATGCGCATGAGGAAGTTGAGAAAAGTGACTTCGTGGAACTCGGCCTCCTTAGCATTTGCAAAAAATGGGTCCGGCCTCCAGATTTTCTCCAGAATCTCCTCCTCTTTTACCAAAATCGGCTTATCATACGGGTTTACAAGCCTTGCATCTCTCCATGCCATCATAAGATAGATATCCATATCGTAGTCCTGGAACAAATAATTGCTCAAGAAAATTTCATCTTTCCTGGATTATGCTGTACCCCTGAAATGAAGTCAGTGCCAGCGGGCGAATGAACGAGTAACGTTAATAGAAACGTAAAGAACGGAATCCTTCTCACATTTTCGATTTTGGAATCAACTCGGAAAGTGTTCAAAACTCAGTAGCAATAGTAGCGTCTCACACAATCGGTGCATGATGAATTTGTCCGGAGTAATGCATACTACCAAAAGAAAAGTGAACTTCACTGACCATGGTCGAAGTTTGGAAATTCGACATCGACTCTATGTAGATACCAAATCGAACAACGACAGCGCTTCCCTAAACAAACCCTCATATTAACTTAGTGCACACTATACAAATCTGAATGATAAAAAACGTTCTGAAAGGAAGTGGTAATGATATGCAGGTATGGTAAAGGTATGCAAATGAACTCGCTGAGCTTGCTAGCTTCATAGCAGTCACGCCGTTAATAATTGTACTAACATTGAAAAGGCAATAGATGAGATACCTGAAAAACAATGGGAGCGGAGAAGGGATCGTACTGGTTCTTGTTCAGTACAGGAAGAATAAACGAACCACCAAGCGTTCTGCAAGAAAAAAACAATCCTTCCCGAGTCGTCCACTTTGAAAAGTTTTTTCTCTGCGTTTCAAAATTTACAGAAACGGTGGACTTATGAAACTAAATACCATTGTTTGGAGCGATATGACAAATCGAAGCCTACTGAGAGGAAACGATTAAATCCCATCCGAAAAATATACTTTAATCAATCTTTTTCAGCAAACTTATAGACTATATATGTAGATACAAAGTAGACACTATATATCCTATATGGATATTAGATTACAATAAAAACTGTTTGCTTCTTCATCACGAATGAACGGAGAACACTTTGATTTTGTGCATTAGAGAGATCCACTCATACATATTCAAAAGGCTTTATCTCTGTATGGATGTGTATGTGTCATGAAACTTGGTACTCCTTGAAGAATAATTTGAATAGGCTATAGGGGTTTGAGAGGTACAGGTAGACCATGGATAGAGAGGCTTACAGAGGCCAACCTAATCAGTAGACGGAGTCTTCTTCCAGGCTGAGAGGTATCGTGGCTGAAGACTCGTAGTTCGGATCCATCAAAACCCATTGGAAAGAAATGTAGCAGATGAATAAGCAAGTCAACGAGACTCCTTCGGAGTGGAGGAATGGGTGGGTGCAAAATTCGACATTTGCCTATTTCCAGATGCGCCTCCAATTAAGGCGGTGCGACTGCCGGAATTTTCCAGTTTGGTCGTGAGAGCCTACACGTTAGTAGAACTTATTAAGATGATCTCCATCCAGTGCGAGATGAGCCATCTATCTTATATTTCATGAAGTCGTGTAGCTTGTTAGGGAACGGAAGATGCTTTGAGTCAGAGAATGATTGCGATGTGGGAAAAATGTAGAAATGGCAGAACTCTTTTACGGAGAATGGGCTTCGACTAAGTCCGCCTATTAAGACAAAGTTCATCAGCTTCAAGGAGGAAATTGTCGATGGTCTTGGGGAAGCCATTAGAAGGGCAGGGGACTTACAGAGCTGAGGATGTGGGACAGCCGCTCATGATCAAGGTGAGGATACCACTTGACGGCAGTAAGTACTGGACAGTAAACAGAAACGAGACTAGAACAAGAATAACCCAACTGAAGTCAGGATGCTCATATGGGCCTGCGGTCGCACACGACTGGACAAAGTCGGAAACGAGGACTTCGGAACGGTCTTGCAATCTCTGTTCTACTGAGTTGAAGGGGCACCATCTTCGATGGTCCCGTTGCAGAGGGAACGGGGTGGTGACGCCATTAGACCCTGCGAAGGCGGAATTAATGTTAGTAAGATTAAGAGGTAGTTTTGAAGAAGTTGTCCTGACATGAGGAAAGCTGCACGACTGACGCCTGCCCCGAAATTGGTAATTTTCGTCCGATTGAAAGTCTCGTTCGATAGAAGCATATGCAGTTATTCCAAAAAAGTTTGTCATTGGTTTTGAATCTATCTGATAGATACCTCCCAACTTTTCTCCCAAAATTCTCAGAGCCTATTTTCTACTGACCTTTCCAACGTCCTATTTGTTGACCAAACCATTTGAACAACATTTGTGAAAACCAATACATAAACGAAGAAAAAGATCTCAAAGTCTTGAAAAACTGGCTTTCGAAAATGTCAGACACAAACCTACTTTATGGAAGCGTTCGTTCTGCTGAGAATGTCGTCCACTTCGGTATCATTTCGCAACTTCTCCGCCAGGGCCGTAAGATTCACTCCGGCAGCCTCCAAAGCCGTCATATTCAAACCGATTGGACCCTCAATTTCAATGCCTGCAAGAAAACAAAAAATGAGCAAAACGGTATGACCTATTATTATAGTTTTGAGCCTTGTTTCAAAATCAAGACCATTTGAACTTCTTAGGCTATCAATACACCCTATCAATAAAGTAGGCATCAAGTTTACCAGAGTACGGCGTAGTCTTGATCCTTTACATGTGCTGTCATATCCAGTATTTCGAGTCAACTCAATCTCGCAATCACGCTTGAAAGTTTCAAGAACATGATCGCCAGGGAATTTCACCTCACGGTAAGAACGCTTAAACTCCGGCTATGAGTTGACACGGTTGATCATTGCATTACCCACTTACCCACTAAGAGACAATAAAGGCTATCAGAAAGGGCGGAACAGATCACGAGATTCGATAGAAGCAATACCAAATGTGTGCTTCAGAAAATGCTTATTCTTAACGAACTTGCCCCCAAAACACATTGTTCCCAGCCGTTGCCACTGTGATCAAAACTAAAACTGTTGGCAAAGAATGATGACAACTCTTCCTGACAGAATGCTTGTTATGTGGAACATGATATCAGACGTCTCGATGATGAGCAACTCAAAGTCCTGAGTCAGTTAGTCATTCCAACTTCACCAAGCCTCACAGGTTTTTGAAAGTCACCTACATATTCTGGAGCTCCAGAAGTACCCCGTAGAGACCATATAATATTTGTTCTCGAAACTTCAGTCATGGTATCCACTCCTAGCATGGCCTTCAAATGGAGAGGGTGAGCCAAAATAACCGTACGAATATCCATCATCGTAAGAACTCATAAAACTGATAAGATGAAATCTCAAGTCGTGACCCAATCTTGAACTGGTTTTTTGCCCCTAATGACTCTACGCAGGTCCTTATATTTGAAGGTAGTTCATCCAAAGAAGCGCAAAAGCATCTTAAGGAAAATTCTTCAAGGCTTCGAGCAGATATTCTTGAGAGATCGCTGTGGTTCAGAGGATAGTTAGTTTCAGGTAGCGTCATACGCGATAATCAAGAATTCTGGTTGAGGTAGAAGATGCTGCTTTTGAGCACTGACGAGGCCTCCATAGAAAGGTTTCTTTGTTCTACTGCAACGTCATTCAAAACCGAAGGGGATGTGTTGAAAGGACAAGGTGTATTCCAATACAACGTTCATCTGTGTTCGATACAAACAAGTAGATTTTGGCAAATAGTAGCTGCAAGAATATGAAACTTTCGGCAAAATTCAAGCGCAAAAACTAGTTTTCCTAGGCAACACGAGTTGCTAACTACGACATATTTCCAAACTCTTTTGCGATCAGATTGCATTCCATCATGTCTAGAAACACTTCATATATCAGTTGCAGTTGCTGTCCTTCTTCTGTCAGAATCTCTCAGATTGGTGAAACGTAATAGGTGCACTCCCCAGATTTTTAGCTGAAACTTTTCAGCAACAGTTTTGCAATGTGACCGAGCCTGTGTGATAGAAAGATAGCAGCCCACGACTCTCTCAACTCGTTTGAGCCCAAATAGTGCAGATTTCTCTTAGATAAGGAAGAAATCTGATTCCATTATTCTGCTTCGTTATTTAAACAGTCGCCTCGAATCTACCCGAGTCTGTGATGACCCACTGCTCATTTTGTAGGCCCACCATCATCACATCGTTTCATAGCCAATAAGTCCACCCTTGGATAAGGTGATATAAATATCAAATGGAGGACGGGGTCCAATTATATTTAGGGTAGTAAATAACTGGAAGGTATTTCTGAAACCAAGGATAAAAGGTCGTCAAGAAATTCACGCCCAACTGGGCGCTAATTGCTGCAAAAGTTAGAGGATAACCTGTTGTGTAGGGCAAGCAGTGAGTGGAGAGCGCTTCCTCTGGCGAATGATGATGCTTGCTGTCGACTTGGATTTTGTACAAAAACTCTTTGTTCAAACGTGGGTCATTACTACCTNTACTACCTTTTTTTCGAGTATTTCGACTTCATTTTATTTTCGCCACTTTTACCCTATCCTGGACTACCACTTCCGTTATTTGTCAGAACTTGGTGCCTTGAAATTATCGTAAACGATGCCTTCGAACAAGGTTGTCATCGCGGTAGTATCATCGGCGCGATTAAGTAGTATTATGGTGTTGTTGCACTCGCGCCGCTGTTTCGAAATTGTAATAGTTAATCAAACCTTCAAAACTGCTACTGTCGAACTCATCAACAGCTTTGGGGACGTAATCTGCGCAGATTCCAGGCAGGTAGAGACCGATCTAAAATCAATTACATGGAGGTGAACTAATATTTGAGCCTTCCTCTAAACAACTGCTTTTTATTTCCATTCGTACAAACAAATCGATGACTACATACTTCTCATGATATCTCGAGTGCTCAGTGCTAAAACGTTCACAACGACCTTCCACAAACATGAATCTTTCAACGCCGTTATTTTAACGTTGCAATTGAACTACATGGATCGTAATCCACAAGATTGTGATTCAAGAAATCAGAAAGTCTTCCTTTATAGAGTACCTTGAGTCTTGTACGATCCCTTTATCTTTGACGAACTATCTGTCAGATTGTGAGTTTGATGAGAGAGGAAAAAGCGTGCTATCGATAAACGATCGTCACTACATCCATATTCTGAGGATTTTCGGGGCTGACCTAATTACAGAGGAGCATATCCCCTGAAGGGTGGTTGTAAATGTCGGTATTCGGTATATTTTTATGAGATGAGCACTTTCTATTCCACTAACCAACCGAGAACGAGTGCTGGTGAACCCCTCATAGATGGTTCTTTGATGGAAAGCTTGCTTCGTCTCGATTTCCAGAAATGCATTTTTCAGTAACCGATCACCCGAGTCTCAAACGGCAGCTTGCAATTTGCGTTTTCGCTGCACGGTATCGGATGACTCAGTGACAAGTCGCCTTGACGGGAGTCCTGGTGCCTGCCAGTGCTGTAGCGCACCTATGGTCCATCACTCGCTCCGGAACCGCGAAGTGCACGCTTTCTTTAGGAATTTTCAGATAGACCATTGGAGAATGTAAGGCTAGAAGTGGGAACAAAACAGTTCTGATCAGAGGTGTTCAATGTATCGTTTAATAGCAATTGTTCTGTGAAGTCCAACAAAGTACATATATTGCACTGCACGGAATTCCTACAGAGCACTGAGTGAAGTCCAAGATCTTTCGACGGTTCCATCGCTACATTCCCACAGTGTGCTAGCCGAAAGAAACGCCATCACCAAGTAACTCTCTTTTTCTTTCCTATTCGAATTCACTTCAATAGCCCCGGCAACTCCTGTGTTGTTTTTTGAACAAAAAGATTTAAAAGGGGTTTGCACTGAAAAGTGCAAAACATGTTCCCTCGTAAGCAATTCCAGCCCTGATATTTTTCAATTTTTCTTGAACTCTGGGTTACAACGAGTAGAAATTCAGGAAGATGAAGCAAATGGACCTAAATACTGACCTTTTCATATCTTTGCAGCACATCACTCGGCACCTTGAGTTGAAGTCCTTTGAGAGCCTCATCAGACAGAATCAGAAGCACCGGTCTACAATGTATATATAGAGAATTCCAAAGAGCGCTGTGTTGACTGGTGAATTGTTTAGCCAAGGGGAAGAGAACATTGTTACCGTAATACATACGTGTCGAACGGTGGTGAATTTGGGGACATTTTTGAAAACGAGAACTTCTGCTGGATGTAACCATCCTAATCATATATATGTAGTAATCTAGTATACATTTGTGGTACGTATGGCATGTATGGTATGTCTGTATGTTTGTACATAGTATGTGTGTATGTGTGACTGCCTGCGGGTGCGTTTGGCGAGAAATCCACAATTACTGTTTTCTTGGACCTATTGCTCAAAGTTGGGATGAATAAATATAGGCGACAGGATAGGATAGTAGGTGGTCCGCCAAATGAACATTATTTAAGTAGAAATACGGAGCGTAGCTAGAATAAGAAAGGACTGAGGCAAGTTACTCGAAGCATGACTTGAGCTAGACACCACCATTTTGAAGCCCTTTGTAAGGTCCACAGTGAAGAGTATTCGCATGATTTCTCGTGAATCAATTCGCTTTCTACGCACAGATCATTATTTTTACCCCCAGTGTTCTGAGCACCTGTTATACCTCTGATATATCCGCATCCTTTTTCAAATTCCTACAACTCGGCCATATTATGCTTCCTCAAACTCAGAAAAGGCTGATTCACTCCACTGTCTTCATTTGAAAAAATTCCGAAGCGGCTTCGAAAAACGATCTACTGGGTCCCACTTGATTTGACCTACGTTAGAAAGCCAGGATCAGATCCTGGGTTGAATGATAAGGCATCCGCTGTTAGTATTGCCTCTCATGTATTCTCTACCAAACAAATGTAACTTTCGACGAGCAACATGCAGCATGCTAATAGTCACGAACTTCGTCACCAATGGTCTCATTATTGTCCGCTGGAAGAGGGTTCGAGGAATGAACACAGCAGGCAAATCCGTAACGAGCCAGAAAAAGAAAGCATGAATGAAAAAAACGAAATGTGCTTTCTTCAAATAAGCGACTAAAGCAGCTAGAGTTCCCGAAGCGAATGTTATCGCAAGGGTGCTAACTTGCTGCAGAGCCTCGCCTTTCCTTGGGACTGTTGATGGCATTAATGCCATTGCTTATGATCTTCATTACTCGCCGAAAACTCGTAAATTTAAGCGAATACTGTTAGCTCGCATCTTTTTGGTCTTTTCTCCATCAGTCGGTCCATAGTAGGGTATTTCAAGAACTGAAGATACCATTGAACTCGGCTCGTCGAGCTTTATGAGCTGAAAGCTTGAATAGCTGGAAATGCTTTGTTTTGGACTGCGAGATACACTTGAGTTTGATCCGAAAGGAACTGCATGTCCGAGGGGTGCACGCTTCAGTGCTTGTAGGGGCTGACTGATCTATGAGGATGAAGTGTTCAGAATTTGCTTTATACTGCGCCCTTTATACTGTATTCGCGAAAATATGCGTGTTTCTACGGTGAGCACTGCATTACACATCGCGGTAGGGGTCGTTTCGTTGTGCGCGTCCGTCGAAACTAGGTCACGCCAAAGGTCAACTAGGTCAAAGAGAAGATAACTCAGACAAATGCGAATCATTCGCTCCACCGACACTTGATGGTACTGTAATGCCGTCTCGAGACCTCAGTGGGATGCGCCGCGCGCGAAGTGGGCGGGATGACCTGCTTTCGGCGGACGCGCGCAACGGACGTTCTCCTCGCGGTAGCCGTCATCAGAATTAATGTAGTTACTCAGATCTTGACAGGTGCGGTTTGACATATGCTTTCTCACTTACGTTTATCAACGTTTGCCTAGAGAGATTGAAAAATCTCTTTTGTTCACAAAAATTAAGTTTTGTAAAGCTTACGTACTGATCTTCTTCGGTTAATTCGATTTTCACCCATTTCGGGCTCGACGGATTCTCCTCGTCGCTTTCGCTTTCTGACAAAACTTTTACGCCTGGCTCATCAGTCGAAGGGTTTACCTGAAAAAAGGGAATTGTGAATCAAACGCTGATTTATGATTTTAAGATGTGGACAATGTTTGGAAACTAATGTGTAGATCCTGATGGTGCGAAAGTAAAGGGAGCCATCAATAATGCTCCAGGAGAGACCTTTGTTTTCGGGGTGGCCCTCATCTGGGGAGAGCCCAAAGTGGCAAAGAACTGTGCAATCGAATAAGTTTTCACAAAATGACCTCTCTGACCAGTCGACACTACTTTCAGCTGCACTTACTTCCTCAACTGAAATGTATACGTTATTCTTATGCATTTATTGCGGATTTTTTACTACTGAAAGGAGAGAGCACGAAATCAGGAGAAGAACTGGAAAAAAACTACTGAAATAAAACAAAAATGCAATGCAGGTTGGATGAAAAAAGTGGGCTCTGTCATCAGAGAGGAGGGGGGCCGAATACAATCACCAATCATTTTGAGGACGCGCGACAACTAAAAAAGATTTGCCGCATAGCCGTGGAAGTTTGGGGAGAAGTACCACCCCAAAGGCACAGTTCACGATAAAAATGGTTTCTGAACTTTCCCTATAGTATGAATTCGAGGCTCCCCTTATACAATACCTGTCGATATAAGGGCGAAAAACGTCTTGGATAGGGTACAATAAGGAACGAGAGATGGTATCGTGGAATGCCATACCCCTAGTGGACGAGTTTCGACAGCTTTGTAGAGACTGCACTATCTCAAAAGGCTCCCGTGTAGGAAGTTCAAACAACTTGTCATGACCTATAGCAATAGCGAATGGCAATTCTGGACAGTTATGGTTTGATGTAGTCAGCTCTTTGCACGATGGGAGCAAGAGAAATCTCGTCCAATACCCCTTACATGCAATTCCCGTCACGGTGATATCGTATAACCTCCTCTTCCTCTACCTTTAAACCGCTTGAAGTAGGCGGATTTTCTCGCTTTCTTCGCCACCGATGTACTTCTGTACATCAACACTTCCGCTTTTGAAGCTAAAAAAGGTACCTCAAAATTATCGTGAATTGTGCCTTTAGTAAATTAGTTGATGTATACCCAGTATGAAACGACAACCGATATCACCCTGATCCAACTGCTGTTGTCGGTATGAATTCATCTGTGAAAATGGAGCCTTCACCAACATAGCATGTTTGCAGGTGAAAGCTCTCTTGACTAACATACTCATGTACAGAAGATGTATAATAGATCTCCTTGAAAGTTTCAAACTGTCTTACAACTTCAACTCGACGGTTTTCGTAGTCTGGGGTTCCTCAGTCTTTTTTGCCACATTACTGTTACTGTCGAAAATGTATCCCAAAGTACTGACCTATGGGATGCTGAAGAGATTAATGATTTGGATAAAAAATGTAACGAAATCCTGTGACGCTTCGTTGTGTACGTACAGACAAAGAACATGTTGCATCATTACCAACATTGAAAAGCCATTCATCGTCGTCATCATCGTCACTTTGCTCGACCTTCTCCTTTTCTTTCTCTTCCGAAAGTTCGGATCGTTTGGTGCGAACCGTATCCATTCTTCGTTGTTGGCTGCAAATAGCTTATTCTGAATGGATGATCCAACTTTAGCTTCAATCACAAAACACCATAGATAGTCTTCAAAAACATCAATCTGTCTGACATACATGCGATCATAGTATCCCTCGTCGTAGTCTCCCAATCGATTACTCTCATATGCATTTGTAGGAGTTTGGGTGTAGTGCTGGACAGGATCCGAGTCCTCATGAGCTATGTGTACTTTCCAATTGCCGACTTTAGCCAACTCATGATCAGAATTCTCCACCAACAGAAATGCCGTATCTGAAAAGAGTTGAAATTCCTATTCTGATATCCACACATGTGCAAGACCAACAGAGCAAATGTGGCCTTAGTAGAGCACCACACTCTGGGGGCGGGACATGAACAGCAGTGATCGGTGTCATAGACAGAATTCTTAATCAGGTTTCATAGCAGCCCAGAAGCCGAAAAACATGAGCAAAGGTAAAGGACGGGCCCATAGGAGAAGTGGACTAGACACATTGGCGGTGGGCGGAGCGTTCTAATACTGGGTCATAAATCTGTTCAGAAACGTTCGGGTAATTTGGAAATTATAGAGAGGATGTGGTCGAATCTCTGGGTCAGCCGAGTTTGCACAGGAGTGGGCGGAGCTAAGACCGAAAATTCGCAAGACTGTTGAAAAATCTTCAAGAACGCGGACGAGGCGGTTGGGAAGCTAAAAGGAGGGTGGTCAAATTTTCACATTTTGAGTGGTCTGCAGTGAGGTGGATGGGGCCATGATTAGCCACTTATAATTCTGCTCAGATAAAATATGTCGAACGCCGGGATGCCCACAAAGCGGTACAGCGTTAAATTTTGGAAGGAACTATCTAATTCCGATAAGTCCTACATTCCGCTAAATGACTCCACCGTAGATGAGCGGTTGTGGCCACGTGAAGCACGCGTTAATGTGAGTAGCCCAATTGGTTAGTTATACATAGCGATAACGATAGCTATTAAGAATTTGTTGGTAGGAAGAAAGAAGAAAAGTAAGCTAACCTGTGCTGTCGTCTCTTTGCTTTTGACCTGAAAAATGAAATATATAATCCGCGTATGAAATGTCTGACCCACTTCGTTAATGGATGCTGACGAAACCTTGTGCTCCCTATAAATTCGATTTCTGAGTAGTGCTACAGAGCGGAAGGTATCAGAGAGCATCCTCCGCCACTCGCGTGCGGTTGCATGGCGGTCCTAGTTATTTGCCTTCGGAAGGCGGTCGTTTGGCGCGATCCCTCCCATCGCGCTGCCCATTCAACGCGGCTTGCGGGTTGGACAACTCGCCCGGTGATTGGGTAACCCACTGCCCATCAAGCTCGATCGATAAGCCACTACTATTAGACGCCTCCTTGTGGACGTGCTTGTATTCTGCCTATCAGTGTAGGGTCATCGATCGGGCTTCTATCACCTGGATGGTTAGTGAGTTGCTCGATCAGCTACGAGCTGTCCAGCTCGCAAACCGCGTCGAATGGGCGGCGCGATGGAAGGGAAAACGACATAACCCTTTGTCTTCTGTTTCTCTGGCATTGGAGCGCGATATTGTTTGCGCGCCTTTTTCAA